ACACCCAGTGACAGGGGGACAGGGACTGGGGACAGTCGGTGACGGGGAGGACACCCAGTGACAGGGGTTGGGGACACCCGGTGACGGGGACAGGGCTTGGGGACACCCTAGTGACAGGGGGACAGGGGTTGGGGACACCTGGTGACAAGGGTTGGGGACACCCATTGATGGGGACAGGGGTTGGGGACACCCAGTGACAGGGGGACACACCCGGTGACAGGGGTTGGGGACACCCAGGGACAGGGACAGGGGTTGGGGACACCCCGGTGACAGGGGGGACCACCCGTGGGGGACGTGCCCTGGTGACAGGGAACAGGGGGGTTGGGGACACCCGGTGGTGGGGCTTGGGGACACCCAGTGACAGGGGACACCCTGGTGACAGGGGGTCAGGTGGGTTGGGGACACCAATGACAGGGGTTGGGGACCCCCCAGTGACAGAGGACACCCTGGTGACAGGGGGTCAGGTGGGCTGGGGACACCGGTGACGGGTGACAGCAGGTTTGGGGGTACCCCGGTAACAGGAGACCCACAGCCACAGGGGGTCTGGGGGACGCTGGAGGGATCGGGGGTGACCCGGTGACACAGGGGGGACCCTGGGGCACCCCAAGGATTTTGGGGGTCCCCTAGAGCTGTAGGGTCCCTGTGGAACGCCAAGGACCTGGAGGGTCCCCCAACATTGGAGGGTCCCCGTGGGACCCCCAAGACTTTAGGGGGTGCCCCCTTGCTGTAGGGACCTCCAAGGACCTTGAGGGTCCTCCAACGCTGTAGACCCCTGAAGGACCCCCAAAAATTGAGGGGTCCCCCATATCTGGAGGGTCCCCGTGGGACCCCCAAGGACCTTGAGGGTCCTCCAACACTGTAGACCCTTGAAGGACCCCCAAGAATTTAGGGGTCCCCCATATCTGGACCCCCAAGGACCTCGAGGGTCTCCCAACGCTGTAGGGTGCCTGTAGGACCCTCAAGGACCTTGAGGTTCCTGCACCGCTGTAGGGTCCCCGTGGGACCCCCAAGGACCTCGAGGGTCCCCCAACGCTGTAGACCCCCAAGAGTTTAGGGGTCCCCCCCCACCCCCAC